GAGGACATCAACACACGTTTAACCACTTCTATATTGCCTAATCAAAGAACTGATTGGTTAAGAGAGAGAATTTATCGATTTCAATTTCCATATTGTGAGGAACCCAACAAGTTGACATCCATAAATTCTCTTCTGCATGTGTTTCGAACAACGTTTTAAAGATTTACCTGATTGATGGTTTGTTTATTCTATTTAAAACCGCAACAACATTTCATTTATATGTTGGTTTCCTGTGAGTACTTCTCCGGTGTGGCCCAGGCAGACCAGCGGCTGATGAGGTGACTTGCCGCGGGTATGATCGATGACACACAATCAGCCAAGTCGGCAGACCCCCAACCATGAAGTACCTTCGTTCGATAAGCATAGGTGCCTGGGTGGATCCACCATTTTTAATTCGTAATCCACACAAACACCTCTCACCATACATTCCAGTCACCGACTCCAAAAACGTCAAGGAAATATTTGATTTGAACAGAGTTGGTGTGATAAAAAAAGACCCAACTGTGTCGATGAGCGAACGCCATGGTAAATCCATGTTTATTGTTACTTGACTTCCTACAACGGTATCGTGGTATGCCGGTATCGAATCAAATTGTTGCTATAGGTTACGAAGAGAAATGTTTATACACGTTTGTTTGTTTGCACTATCCCAGCATATCGCAACGACCTTTAATTAATCTGGTACAGATGAACCAGTGGTTGATATCACGAGTTAGGTGACACGCTCTTCGGCTACAGTGACATCCAATCAGATCACCGGATACATTTGGCTGTCATTTAAAGACTTGAGTATCATGATGGCCTATCCTAATATGAGTCTTATCGCCTATTTGTAGATACGCTCTGTGTGTCTTAACTAACACTCCAGCGAGCAAATGTGCACGTAATGGATGAGTATGGTTTAACGCCCCTTTGAATATTGTTTTCGTTTGAAACCGTGTGCCAGCTTGACCTGTTTGAGAACCCGAGGAGATGCTGATCAGGCACGTTTACCATGAGCACAGGCATGGTACTCACACAGGCATGGTACTCACACAGGCATGGCACTCACACAGGCATGGTACTCACACAGGCATGGCACTCACACAGGCATGGCACTCGCACAGGCATGGTACTCGCACAGGCATGGTACTCACACAGGCATGGTACTCACACAGGCATGGTACTCACACAGGCATGGTACTCACACAGGCATGGTACTCACACAGGCATGGTACTCACACAGGCATGGCACTCACACAGGCATGGTACTCACACAGGCATGGTACTCACACAGGCATGGCACTCACACAGGCATGGCACTCACACAGGCATGGCACTCACACAGTACTCACACAGGCATGGTACTCACACAGGCATGGCACTCACACAGGCATGGTACTCACACAGGCATGGTACTCACACAGGCATGGCACTCACACAGGCATGGTACTCACACAGGCATGGCACTCACACAGAAAGAATACTCGATATGAATTTAGGATTCAAACCATCAAGATCCTGGTCCAGTTAATAAGCCACTCTGCACAACAACTTGGGGCGTTGGACAACAGGGCCACCTTGCTACATCTGTCACAGAACAGGGGCGAATATGATACAGAGACAGTAGGAAGACTGGAACGAAAATAAGCCTAATTTTTGTTTGGTCTCTGATCTGTTCGTGTTTTCTTTACATATTTCATACGACTTGCTAGACCATTAATTCAATCATATATGGCCGCTCTGATGAAAGAATTGGCGTTGTTTGTGACATTTTCGCCATTACAGAATTTATACTCGTCTCACTCGCAAGAAAACAACACGTTTATAAGCGCAGTTGTGAGCCGAAGAGTGATAGCAACACTCTATTTTTGGTTCCGTTTGTTTATAAAAGTTTTAAGCTGCAAAACCCAACTTGTTATCAGTAGATTTGTACACATCGATGACACGTGATTACAACTGCGTCACTGCCGCTGAAATATATGTTGTCAGTAGTCCATACACATACCCGGACACTGACAACATGGGAAATGTGTTTGAGTGAGTATTGTTTTACTGGCTTTCAGCAATGTTCCAGCAATGTCAGGGCGGGGGACACCAGGAATGGGCTTCACACATTGTACCCATGAGGGGAATTGAACCTGGGCCTTTGCGTGACGAGCGAACGCTTTAACCATTAGGCTACCCCACCAACCCTGAGCCATTTAGAAGGCCAAGTTAATTATCAGTGTTGTTTATATAGTTGACCCTCGTTAATCTGTAGGGTTTGCTTCATATGAAATGTCTGTCTCCATGACATAGTTGACAACTGTATGATGACATGGAGTCCTATTGGTAGAATGGTAGCATGTGAGTGAGTGGGTTAGTAGGGGATTCAGTCAAATAGGTTTTGGGCATTTTCTTGCATTTCATGACAAAACAGGAGTGTGTACTGACTTTGGGAATAGAACCAATGTATGTGGGTGTGAGCATCTGTGCGTAAGTGTGTGTGTGCGTGTGTATGCGCCGAGTAAGGGCGTTGGATTGCATCATCAGCTCCATTTTGTCAGTACTGACGCCATCAATTCTATGTGATCAGTCATATGGTCATCAAGAAAGTCCCCGCGTTCTAGGCTTATGTCCTCAAGTCCATATGAGCAGTGCTAGCGGCATCAGGACCCAATGGTGAGTACTAACATCACCAAAGCCTAGTGGTGAGTGCTGATGTCATAAAAGCCCAGTGGTGAGTACTTATTTCATCAAGGCCCAGTGGTGAGTACTAATGTCCTCAAAGTCCATGGGGTGAGTACTAATATCACCAAAGCCAAGTGGCCAATACAGTACTAATGTCACCAAAGCCCAGTGGTGAGTACTAACATCATCAAGGCCCAGAGGTGAGTACTAATGTCACCAAAGTCCAGTGGTGAGTACTAATGTCACCAAAGTCCAGTGGTGAGTACTAATGTCACCAAAGTCCATGGGGTGAGTACTAATATTACCAAAGCCCAGTTGCGAATACAGTACTAATGTCACCAAAGCCCAGTGGTGAGTACTAACATCATCAAGGCCTAGTGGTGAGTACTAATGTCACCAAAGTCCAGTGGTGAGTACTAATGTCACCAAAGTCCAGTGGTGAGTACTAATGTCACCAAAGTCCATGGGGTGAGTACTAATATCACCAAAGCCCAGTGGCGAATACAGTACTAATGTCACCAAAGCCCAGTGGTGAGTACTAACATCATCAAGGCCTAGTGGTGAGTACTAATGTCACCAAAGTCCAGTGGTGAGTACTAATGTCACCAAAGCCCAGTGGTGAGTACTAACATCATCAAGGCCTAGTGGTGAGTACTAATGTCACCAAAGTCCAGTGGTGAGTACCAATGTCACCAAAGTCCAGTGGTGAGTGCTAACATCATCAAGGCCCAGTGGTGAGTACTAATGTCACCCAAGCCCAGGGGTGAGTACTAATGTCACCACTAGCCCTCTGTCAGAGTCTTCTTGCTCTTCCTGAGGCAAGAGTGCCCACTAGCCCTCTGTCAAAGTCTTCTTGCTCTTCCTGAGGCAAGAGTGCCCACTAGCCCTCTGTCAAAGTCTTCTTGCTCTTCCTGAGGCAAGAGTGCCCACTAACCCTCTGTCAAGGTCTTCTTGCTCTTCCCGAGGCAAGAGTGCCCACTAGCCCTCTGTCAAAGTCTTCTTCCTCTTCCTGAGGCAAGATTGCCCACTAGCCCTCTGTCAGAGTCTTCTTGCTCTTCCTGAGGCAAGAGTGCCCACTAGCCCTCTGTCAGAGTCTTCTTGCTCTTCCTGAGGCAAGAGTGCCCACTAGCCCCTCTGTCAGAGTCTTCTTGCTCTTCCTGAGGCAAGAGTGCCCACTAGCCCTCTGTCAAAGTCTTCTTGCTCTTCCTGAGGCAAGAGTGCCCACTAGCCCTCTGTCAGAGTCTTCTTGCTCTTCCTGAGGCAAGAGTGCCCACTAGCCCTCTGTCAGAGTCTTCTTGCTCTTTCCTGAGGCAAGAGTGCCCACTAGCCCTCTGTCAAAGTCTTCTTGCTCTTCCTGAGGCAAGAGTGCCCACTAGCCCTCTGTCAGAGTCTTCTTGCTCTTCCTGAGGCAAGAGTGCCCACTAGCCCTCTGTCAGAGTCTTCTTGCTCTTCCTGAGGCAAGAGTGCCCACTAGCCCTCTGTCAGAGTCTTCTTGCTCTTCCTGAGAGCAAGATTGCCCACTAGCCCTCTGTCAGAGTCTTCTTGCTCTTCCTGAGGCAAGAGTGCCCACTAGCCCTCTGTCAAAGTCTTCTTGCTCTTCCTGAGGCAAGAGTGCCCACTAGCCCTCTGTCAGAGTCTTCTTGCTCTTCCTGAGGCAAGAGTGCCCACTAGCCCTCTGTCAGAGTCTTCTTGCTCTTCCTGAGGCAAGAGTGCCCACTAGCCCTCTGTCAAAGTCTTCTTGCTCTTCCTGAGGCAAGAGTGCCCACTAGCCCTCTGTCAGAGTCTTCTTGCTCTTCCTGAGGCAAGAGTGCCCACTAGCCCTCTGTCAGAGTCTTCTTGCTCTTCCTGAGGCAAGAGTGCCCACTAGCCCTCTGTCAGAGTCTTCTTGCTCTTCCTGAGGCAAGAGTACCCACTAACCCTCTGTCAAAGTCTTCTTGCTCTTCCTGATCACTTGATATTCACAAACAGTCCAGTTTATGTTAGGTAAGGATAAATGACAGGGCCTTGTTTCAGTATGGCCTCCCACCGGACTGATGAAATTCATAGAAGCGGTTGGGCTTCTTATATCGTACATTTGGTTCATGCAAAGGGATACCTTCATTTCTGGGAAGAAAATGTTGCTCAGTATATTTGCAATACCCCCAAAACCCCACATTTCCCCCAGGGTTCAACAAGGAGCTAAGGAGTCTCTGGAAACGAGCAAACTTGTGTATTGACACCAAGCTGACAACCCTTGGTAACATTAAGTGAGGATACAAATTGATCACATTGTAGAGAATCTTGTATGACAAAAATAAAGTTGCAGTTATCACAAGTGACTTGTTTAAACACAGACACAGACAGTACAATCTATTTAATTAGTTTTTATTTCTACAGGATTCATTTCATATAAACATATCACAGACAATATTTCACAAACAGACAAGGATGTATTGCCATCTGGACGGACAGTACTGGAATGGAGGATGTAGAGATGACGAGATAGTTCAGTATGCAACACAGTGGATGGAACACAGACACCTCACCTACAGCAGTGAACAAGTTAAGCTGGATACCATGTCATCAGAATAATGTGTACAGTAATACATACCTAATGTAAGCATGTTAGGTAGTTGGTGCTGGGAAATTTCATTTGGAACCAAAGTAGTTCTGATAAATACCAGTGATAAAAGTCAGTGTGTCTTCACATTCCAAATAGTATGTTAATTTTTCTCTAACTTTTGGATTAAAAAAAATACATACTTATGAAGACAGGTATTCATGTAAAACAAAAAGTCTGAAAGGTTTCCATGGATCCAATATTATCTAATGTCTTTGACCAATCAGATTGCAGGAGACATGCCTATTCATTTCATAGCTTTTAATCTATGCTTAAGATTAACCAACTACTAGTTTGTAAATGTCAAATAAAAGATTTATGAAGTTAAGTGATATGTAGTTAAGTCCAAATCGGCCAGGATGAATCAGCTATAGAATTGGTCCCTGCTGTGTGAGAACAAACAACAGACACAGGTCACAGAGTGAGGAGCCTTTCTGGTGTTCCCCATCACAGTGCTTGACTTATCTGGGACCATCTGAGACCTGTTTGAGTTTGATATTCTAGAAGACACTGGGCCAGTGCTGGTCAAATACATTTTGCATTTCCTAAAATGTCACCTAACCCTAGAACCAAACCCAGGCCTTCTGAATGAAAAGCAAACACCTTATCCACTAAGTTCATTGAAACATTGAGCCATCCTCTAATTACAGGATAGAGAGACCACTGGATAGAGACATCCAGTCACAGAAGACAGAGAGCTGATCACAGATGAGAGTTTTGATCACAGGAGAGAGAAGTGTTGCTTCAGCTGCTTCAGGAGCTCTTTGCTGTCGGTGTGGTTGGCAAAGGCGTCCACGGCTCGCTTGGCGGCGTTGTAGCTGCTCTGAAGGTCACCAAGCTGAAAAAGTAAAATCACTCAATAAGACGTAGACATGTAGACATTCAATAATAACAAAACAGACCACCACGGAACAACAAACAATCCAATAACTGATATTGTAAACAACATTCCATGCTGTAGGGGGTACAATGACATGCAGTCAGTCATATCTCCGAGCATGATCAACTGACCCATTTGGCGGACTCCTCCAGCTGCCACAGGTTGCCAGGAACCTTAGACTAACAACTAGTCTCTGAAATTAACATATTTTACAGAAAAAAGGCTCACAGTCAAAAAAAAACCCAAAATATAATAAAAAGGAGCCCTGAGATTTTCTTCATTTTCTAAAGCTAGACTTGCCACATTTTCTAGACTTGCGTGGGATTTCTTGGATATATTTGCTTCAGGGTCTGTATGACAGACTACCAGGAACCTATTCTAACACAGAATCTCCATGAGGTCTTAACATGCAAAAAACCCACATAATGCTTATGGTAATCAAACTTAAATATGTTTAAATTTAATATCATCATGACTCATTTAATAACAATAATGAAGAAAATCTCTTTAATCTGATTATATTCTTATTCCTAAATGGAACAGATACATGAATGATGACTAATTAATTCATGTTATCCACACAGATAGGACACAGTAACTAATTTCCCTGTAAATGTCCATATCTAATTCTACTGAAACTTCCTTGAGTGTTATGTACAGATTGTGTGGACAAGGCACAAAGAGTGAACTGTGACTGTACATAATGATCCAGTCTGTGTTCCAGATACAGGAAATCCTCAAGAATGGAGAGCTGCATGCACCACAGATATACAATATTCCCTGTCTGATAAATCAAATGGAATTTTGAGATTTGGGCTGAACGAGGAAGCTGATCCTGTGTCACGCCCTGGCATAATTGGACAGACTCTATTAGTTTACGCTACAGATGTCACAACAGTGAGATGTATGTCCCTATCTGTATTACCTACATCCTGTATGTGATATAGCAGCATACAGGGATACGAATGTGATGTCACCAAATGTCCACCGTCACATACGGCTGGAAGGGCGTGCATTCATTTGGACTTTTCTACTCATAATTATTCATCATTACTGTCATTAGTTCAGATATCATATTCATTATTATCATAACCACCACCATCATCATAATCATCAGGGAAAAAAAAAATGCAAAAAGGTATATACTGTAAAGCTGGTTCTGTTTAACAAAACATGACTAGCTGAGTGAACCAGTTAAAACTACTTTACTGTTCCAGTTAAAGCTAGCTGAGTGTTAGTCTTGAACTATCCAAGACTAACAGAGTGACCCATAGCCAGCAGAGTGAACTATTCCAGACTAGCAGAGTGAACCATTCCAGACTAGCAGAGTGAACCATTCCAGACTAACAGAGTGAACCATTCCAGACTAGCAGAGTGAACCATTCCAGACTAGCAGAGTGAACCATTCCAGACTAGCAGAGTGAACCATTCCAGACTAACAGAGTGAACCATTCCAGACTAACAGAGTGATCCATTCCAGACTAGCAGAGTGATCCATTCCAGACTTGCAGAGTGAACAATTCCAGACTAGTAGAGTGAACCATTCCAGATTAACAGAGTGAACCATTCCAGACTAGCAGAGTGAACCATTCCAGACTAGCAGAGTGAACCATTCCAGACCAGCAGAGTGAACCATTCCAGACCAACAGAGTGAACCATTCCAGACTAACAGAGTGAACCATTCCAGACTAACAGAGTGAACCATTCCAGACCAGCAGAGTGAACCATTCCAGACTAGCAGAGTGAACCAATCAAGGCAAGCAGAGTGAACTACCTCATACAAGCAGAGTGAACCAACCCAAGTCAGCAGAATGAACCATCCCATGTAAGCTGATTGAACCAATCTTAGGCAAGCAGTGTGAACCAAAACAGCACATTTAGTTTACAGAAAAATCTCTAAATGTATTGTGAAACTGCTTACAACATGGCCATCTCAACAACAAACTTATAAGTATATATTTTTGAGTTCCTGTCTTGAATTACCAACTTCTTAGCATTATCTGCATGTTGTTGTGCTTCAATGGAGCTAACTGGTACAAGAACGTCACCAAACACATGCAGTGACAAAACCTCCTCAACACATCAAACAACAGGAAACCGAGGGTTTTTACATATATTTTCAACAAGATAACTGGAAAATAAATCTCCACTTAACAGCTGCATATCAAGTAACTTTTTATACTCATTAGTGAAAACTTTCCATGTGTTTCATAACACACAAGGCTTTTGAAAAAGTCATACTTTGACCCAAACTCTCGACCAAAGTTGATAATTGTCACAGGGTGCGTCATTTGTAAGAGATTATGTAACACAATTGATGGTTATCAACTCCCCTGATCCCGTCTCATAATAGCATGCATGCAACACTGACTACGACCATCACTGGCAAACATCGACAAACAGTCACTCCTGTGACCTATGGTCATTCACTGATGATAATTGCTAATACCAGCCAATTAAGTCCAGCATTAATTATCTAATGAGGTTTGATAACACCACTATGCCCAGTTTGAGAGCCATCGGTGCGACAATAACGGTCAGCGACATGATATCTGGACCCTGATCGGTCATTGACAACATCTGACCCCTAGATGGCCGCTGCTGACACCAAATGAAACCAGATTGAGTAATTAAAATTAAGCCAAGCCTTAGGCTGTTTGCTGGGTGTGATTATAGATTAGAGTTACCTCCCCTTATCTCTGACTGTCAGAACCCATTAAACCATCTGGTCAGCAATGGATGAACTGTGACAGCCGGATATAATTAGTCGTAATGGCGGTAAAATGTAGTACTAATTAGGATCCAATATGGAGGAGAGTGTGTCATTCTGATAACCATGTTTTTATCAAGTTTTAGCAGAGATGCTATCAATTTGTCTGGTAATTAAAGGATTAACACTCAATTTGTGTGAGGGTCAAACAATGAGTGTTAATCTTGATATGACATTTCATACTGAATGAAAAGTGAGGCATTAATGAAATGTAACATTTAGCTATTAACAAATAATGTCTGTTTTCATTGAGAATTTACCATTTGGTATGGTGATAGAAGTAAACCACAGTTTATCATATTTTTGTCCTCCTGGCCTCAAAACAAATGAGCGTGACAATATTGTTTCCCAGTACCTACAAGGGATGAAATCAATAGTTCTCTGTTTCCTTTAATGGATGAAATACAGCACATACATTATCCTAACATTCATGTGCTCCACATCCATCAACAGTTTATATTCAGACATGCTGCAAACTACAATTCTTGAAAACATTACATGAAAGTCTTATGGTTAATATGCAGTGGCCTGAAGCAAATGATTCTGTAAATCACAGCACTTGACTGAATTATGTATTGACATAAAGTTACATATTGGATAATACAATTTATGGACATAAAGATTGTGATCTAAGCAGACCCATGAAGATCCGGGTAGGATTGGTCTTCAGTAACTCATGCTTGTCGTAAGAGGCCATCGGGTGGTCAGGCTTGCCGACTTGATTGACACAAGTCATTGTATCCCAATTGCATAGATCGATGGTCATACTCATGATCTGTCCAGACTGGATCATTTGCAGACTGCTGCAATATAGCTGCAATATTGCTGAGTGCAGCGTTAAACAACAAACACACCAAAACAATCAAAACCTAAGCAGATGACTATGGTTGGCCATTTTGTCAGTAAACAAGGATTGGTAGCATGATGGCCTGACTTACTTTTCACTCATTAACACAAATACCGGGATTTTCTGGAAAGCCGTCCACTCAATAATTAGCCCATGGGCGCTTATTTTAGGTGGGCGATTATATGGGGTTAAAACTTATTTTTTCATTACTGCTATTTAGAAATATAATTCACAGTAAACTTCGTTATTTATGTGTCAGAGGTCATTGTTCATTGTAGATGAATATAAACGTGTAGGAAAATAAATTTAATAACACTTTTGCGCAGGATATCGTGTCCGTTTTGACACACAGATTTTACAGTAATGGTTAAATGAGCCTGATTTAATTGAAAAATCTTCATTTACATTACATTATCTGGGCAGCTTTCCGGAAAATCCCGGTATGGCGTGTTATGTAATGTGAGAGTGAAAGAAGAACTTTAACAAAGGGATAAAGAGTAAATATGTTTAAGTTTCCTACAGATTCAAAAGCCAAAAGAATAGGCCCTAAGCACCTCATAATGGTATAATGTGTTACCTGACATTCAGCGAAACCATAGCTCATGCCGTCCACCCCTAGTGTGCCTGAGCCTGAATTATGCTCAGGTCATCCAGATTCACTAGAATATTACTGACTATTACTTTAAACAATATTCACTCACATTTAACGAGGCATCTCAATTATGTGATCAAGTCAGCTTATATGATACAATTTGTGACTTTCTCCCAAAACAACAGAGGTGGAGTGGTGTAGTGCTTCAAGAGTTTGTTGGTTATGGTAAAGACCAAGGTTTGATTCCTCACATGGGTAAAATCTGTGACGTCCATTCTAGTGTTCCATGTCATGATATTACTGAAATACTGGTAAAATAGTCATACAATCATGCTCACTCATTCCCTTCTTAATAAAAAACCCAAGAAACACCAAAATGATTCCCCCAAAGCTCTTCAAAACAACATATCCTGACATCGACTTTAGAATAAAAATAAACACTGAAAGCTGAGTATGCCCATATCATTATCATTAACAAGCTCCTATGACAAGCAATGTTTGTGAAAAACAGTAAATCTCTTTAACTGGCGCTATAAGGCTCCAAGTAGCCACGCCCCTCATTGTCTTGAGGGACACTGGCGCCATCATCTGACTGAAGGATATCACTAGGAAACCAAGCTTCCTCACTTCCCTTAATCATCTCCCCATGTCAGCCCCTTGTGCCGATGTCAGCCACACCACACGATGGGAAGGATATTTAAACTTGAACTTAAATATCTAATTAGTGGTTTCAGTTGGGAAATGTTCTAATCTATTTGTTGACCTTTTCAAAACAAATGATAAACATCATCAATGTTTCAAACACAAAATGAAAATGAGAAATGGATTTTTGAAAAGGAAATATTATTAATAATTACATATTGAATAAAAAAATAAATATATTTTTTTGAAATTATTATGTTATAAATAGAGATGTCTTCCAAATTAAAACTGTGTAAAAATGATTCCATATATTTGCCTCTGCTCAGTTGCAGTGTTTGAACTTTAGTATATCCTTGACCTTGAGGTCAGTCTTTGAACAAGGGCTCCATACCTGCACCTATCAGGTCTGAATGACGACCCCTTGAATGTAATGCTTCATTTAATGAATTACAACAGTTCATAACAAGCTGAAACATTAACAAAGACATTTTGTTTAAAATGTTCTAAGAGCACACTCCAGGATGAATTGCATCCTGATGTTAAACACCTCCTCACCGAACAGTCCCATGAGATGCCATCCCATGGGAGTTTGCACAAAGTTTTGAACATTCACTTCAAATTAAGCATTTCAAAATAAATTAATCAAATTATGTCTTCAGTTAATAAATGGAATTATACTCCTGTCCCCATCAAAGAATTAAACGTGCCCTCATAGTTCGAAGAGTAATCTTTGGATTAACATGGAGGTCACATATAATTACAGCTACTTATAAACACCAAGAGATTCAGATGAATGTTATTATGTGATTACAGAAATTATAGTATTAATTCTACTTGTGATATTCTAGAACTGATTATTGTAGTGGATGAGGTCAGCAGAGCTATTCATATTTTTAGGTTTTACTGGTACAAATATTGAAAGAACTCGGTTAATTGTCTTAAATGAGCTGAAGGGAACTGGACAAGCATGTGTGTAGTTGCTGGGGTTAAACTGCTTCTTGCTTTATATTTGGGATTACACTTTCTCAATTATAGATTCTAGTACTATTTTGTGGGTTGCGCCCCATCTGGGATTCGAACCCACACTCTCAACACCCATGAACTGTCAAATACATTTTCTGTTTATACATGGGCCCAGAAGTTGGTAGTAGGAGGGGGTTGTTATGCTGGAAGTATGGCACTTCAAACAAAGACATGTCGGAGTTCAGTTTATTGTAGAATTTAACATAATCAAATTTCTTCTGTAATCAGTTATACCACTATCAGGTTGGCACAATGGTACACACTGTCACATTCAAGTGAGTGGCGTCTCCAGTCATACCCCATTCACTCTCGAACAGAACTGCTGGTAAACACAGTATTGTATGTCCATCATATTCAATCATTCATAACATGAACTCTCTAATCATAGGAGCACAAGCTGTCCTTTGTATTTTCAAACATCTACAAAACTTAATTTCCTCCAAACATACAAGAGCAATAATTATGTAATATAGTCTAATATATCAAGTTCTACAATATGATATTAATTATATTCATATGTGATGATAATCAAATGTTGGATGTAAAGATTACTATTTGCTAACAATATTTCATGAATGCATAATGCATAACAAAATAATCTAATAATAACATGTAATCATTCATTTTCATATCCCCTGATACACAATGAAAAACTTAACTGTTAATTATATGATTTTGACTTGCTTTAACATGTTAATGATATTCCCATGGTCATCAAGGGCATACATGTTACAGTGGGTCTCACACATATCTGGGATGAGAGCTTTCAGCCATTGCCCACCCTAGCCCATCCCAACACTCATCTGGCCAGGTAGAGCAGCAAAGTTATAGTGGGGTGCCAGAACAAAACACTTCCCCACCCACCCACCCTGTCACCTAACCCACCCTGTCACCCACCCCACCCTGGTTCTCACCTGGTCTGCTAGAGCAGCAAAGTTGTAGTGGGGCTCGTACATGTGGGGTGCCAGAACAAATGCTGCTTGGAAGAATGCCCGGGCCTGCAAAACAAAACAATACATCTTCATTTATCTAAAACATCATGAATGATATACACGTTTAATATTGATGTTTATATACACTCCACATAAAATCAATATTGAAAGAACATTTTACATACAAAATTGTTCCATTATCTGAAATTATTTCTCATTCTCATATGTTAAGAAGACAAATAACACCATCACAGTTAATACCAAACAATCCTTTCAGCTCTGTTCCATCCCCATTTAGACCTGTGAAGGTCCAGGTTAGAATATTGATCTTCAGTAACCCATTCTTGTTGTAAGAGGCGACTTATGGGATGGGGTGGTCAGGCTCGCGGACTCGGTTGACACATGTAATCGGTTCCCAATTGCGCAGATCGATGCTCATGCTGTTGATCACTGGATTGTCTGGTCCAGACTCGATCATTTACAGACCGCCACCATATAGTTGGAATATTGCTGAGTCCGGCATAAAACTAAACTCACTCAATCACTCCATCCCCATTTAGGTTCATGGGGTAATAAAATTTAAAACAATGATTTATTCAGCACCAGAAAGCTTGTCCAACAACCCTGATATGTCGTGTCCAGGTTTACACAGGTTCAGGATTGTACATCACAGCATCAGTCTGTGAGTCGAGCAATATACCATATAAACACTGTGTAGTAACCTGTCACCTACAGTAAACACTTCATATCCTTGAAAGAGGCACTGTAGCTCAAATGGATAGACAACAGTCACAAGAACAAGTAGGTCATATGTTACTCTATGTCTTTCAGTCTATGGGTTGATGGCTTCCTCTAATATGAGAGGAGGCTAGGATGATCCAGGAAACAGACTTTGACCATTTTCATGAAACTAATGGTGACACAACAAGGATCACAATCTTAGTGGATATGGGGTTCGATCTTCAGATACTGAGTGATTATTACTGGTTCCATCAGTGACCGCTTACGAACCAAGACCAATTGAACCCAGATCTTCATGTTGTCCCTGAACATTTTGTAAAGTAATAATTCTCGTATGCACGACACCAAACTGTAAATTACAAAATGTACATATATGTAAAGTTTGGGCTTCATTGATCAAGTGTGTCATGAAGAGAAATGAATATAATGCACAACAGACAACAGACAAACAGGATATGACATTAACCAACCTGACTTTTAATATAATGAGCTAATAATTGTACTTTAATCAATTAGAATGAAAGGAAGTTCCTGCAACATATTCAAGAATCTATATTATTCACAGACCCATTCCTGACGAAGATGCCAGGAATGACACGACAGACAAAACAGCAATGATTCTGTGACGTTATCTTCATGTTATTTCATTATATTCCCAGCAAAACTAGATCAGCTGAACTGATGTCAAATCTGATGTCACTTGATTGACATGTGCCGTCTTAGAATCTGACTCGAGTCCACCCAGAACAAAAGCACTCGCGAAAGGCTTATGCATCCATGGGACAAATCCAGAATGTCAGAGGTTGTCCAGGACTCAGCAGATAAGGAAAAGGGATTTGAATAAGTTAGTTCCCACCACTGTACAATTAATGGTGTCTTACTTACTGTGTGTAACTGCTTGCCGATATGAATAATACAAAGTGGTATGAGTGTGTTGATGTTAGCTGTACAGTTTTATCACTTCAGCCTTTTACTGATTGCGCCTGGGCTAGGCAAACCAGTGGTTGATATGAAGCATGGCCCGTGGAGTCACGAGGTGGCATGGAGTGGAGTGGAGTGAAACTGGGAAACTGGGAGTTGAGTGGAAGAAGAGAAGAGCAATGAGAAAAGGAAAGGAAAAGACTGGAGTGGAGTGGAGCCAAGAAGTTGAATGATGTTTGTTGAGTGAATTTGTAATTGTGTTAGGGAGTGAGTCTTGAATGGTTTGCTGCTAATCAATTCAAAATCTATGACTTCCATCAAACTGGTCCAGTTTCATGTAAGACATTTGTTATTTCACAATTTCAGTTCCTAGACTCAACAACTTGAAAATAGTTGGCAGCAAGCCAGGCTATCAGTATCCCGTAACAACAATATCATAAAATAACCCATAAAAAATATATATTGATTCTGTAAACCATGTCCAGGGAAATATGTCAGTTATATAAAAAAACTGACACTAAAGCGTAAAATCGATGAATATGTCTATGGAGTGTCAACAGAGCATTGTGACTTAGAAGACAACTCTCATTGTTGCATATTTCACAGGGCCAGATATCCCAAAACCATGAATCTAAAGTTCTAAACTTCTTTGGCATGTTAAAAACAAATGAACAGAATATATACATTTTAAATTTTGACAGTATTAATGCATTTGTTGGATCACATATTAATTTTGGCATTGAATTTATTAAGCTAATTCATCTGATCTGCCTCAAACCATGTATCTTTGAGGTGAGACCTCTATAACTGCAAAATGTCAGCTTTTCACAGAATAGTAATGAAGTTGATTTCAGGCAAAAAAGGAGAATCACATATACAAAATGCTACACCTGTTCTGTTCGCAAAATATGAACATCAAATTGACCATCTGTCATTTTGATGATTTTTTTTAAACACAAAGTACTCACAAAATAATTCATGCAGGTATGACATGATGATAGCTAAAGTTACAGAAAGTGAAATTTTCAAGGGAAAAAAACAGCTTTTGATGGTCTGTGATCCAACAAATAGACAAGTATCGGCCACACTAAACTTGATCAAAATTGTTGAATTGTTGTACATATAGGATGGAATAATGTTCGAACTATTGGCTAAAACTTATACAAGACAATCAGGGTAGGGTTGTACTGGATTTGAGTAGTCCCAGTGAACTGCAACTAGCCCCAGGCCACAGGGCCACACTCATGTCATTGCTGACCTAAATTCAAAATGTAGCAATGGAAATATATCATGAAGTATGAATATTTCCTTCCAACTGTAAACATCACACAATCTTTTGAAATTCCAGCTGCTCCTGATATAAGGACTTCCATCGAACTTCCGGCACGTACTTAAAATGAAATATCATCTTGAAAAGGAGCAGTATAGAGACGGTATTACCCTCATTCAAAATCCTGAACACAGTTTAATCTTTGAAATTCCATAGTTTGTAAACATCAAAGCACAAAAAAGTTTAGCTTCATCTCTGTCATCCAGTATTCAGCCACGGAAAATCTGTTCCTGCTCAAACAAAGCGTGCATGTGTGTAAGCAGCGTGTGTATATTTCCTGGCGTACATGTACACAAAGATGAGAGACAGTTTAACATGCCCTTATTCAACATCAGTGCAACAGTGATGAGAACACTGACATATCCTATTTCTCAAACATTTATACAAGATTCTAATTTTAATTTCAAAAGGAGTATTATCAGCAACATAAGAAAAAAGGAACACCACCCATCTAAATTTATCGCAGCTTTCTCCTCATTATTTAACTGAATGGTTTACAAGTATTTCTTAGCCACGTGAAATTTTATTAGAACCACATCCATGACAATGAAAAGGGTGCTTTATGATATTGGGTGTTGAGGTTCCATGCTGTGTCGTGTTACGACACTAGCTTAGCGGGTCCTTTAACTAACCTGACAAGTTTTTCACGCTCCCATGAATATGTATAACACTCAAGGTCCCAAACACAGTGTGACTATCTTTTGATGTAACTGGCTTAAGAACGATTAAAGTTTACATTTTCACCAACTCTAATGGCCATTGAATATTCATGCAGTAAAGGATATAGTTTTTGTGTGTATCTAACTTTTAAAGAAATCTTTTGCATGTATTGGTACAAGCTTTCCTGTTTGAATGGAAAACTGAAGTAAGCTATGTCAGACACAAGCTGTTGCCTAACATACATTGAACTAATGTTGTTCATGCTGCACACTTCAACATGTTGTTGAAGTCACTGGGACCTACAAATGATCACAACTGAGGCCAAAACAAATGGTTTATAGCATGAACAACATCACTTCACACTCAGTAATGGTTCCTTTCCACATAGTGATCTTGTACCAATGACATTAAAAGATGGCACTTGTCGTTACCCTGTAGACTTGAGTGAGTGAGTGAGTGAGTTTGGTTTTACGCCGCTTTTAGCAATATTCCAGCACATCACGGCTGGGGACACCAGAAATGGGCTTCACACATTGTACCCATGTGGGGAATCGAACCCAGGTCTTCGGCGTGACGAACGGACGCTTTAACCACTAGGCTACCCCACCGCCCCCTGTAGACTTGAACTCACTATAACGTTTTCTGAACCTATGTTAAACTTTGGCATGTTATTTCAGTGAGCTACAAAACAGCACTAAGGTATCCATTTGGTACAATATTCTGGAACTTGACTAGGCAGAGTCTCACAGTCCTGACCAATATTATTTCCCTTCCATCCAGCTGTTACTGTCATACAAAAGCCCAAAATCAAGCAAGTTTAAATATTCCTCAAGTTTAGATTCCGAATCTTCCCCGTTCCTGGGTCTCTTTTTCAACTTGCATGTCACAGATTCTATGAAGATTATATATTTTCTGCGACTTAGAGTTAGTCTGTAATTGCCTATTCATGGAGTGCAGTAGTGCAGTGGTAAGGCTTCTGCCTATCACGCTGAAGGCCCGGGTTCGATCCCTGGTGGAGGCACCTAGGTTAGGGTCCAGAGGTGGGCACATTTGAGTAGTATCCTTGGACAAGATACTTAGATCCACACTGTCTCAGTTCACCCAGCTGTAAAATGGGTACCCGTGAGGATGTGCTGGCAATGTGAGTGATTAGTTCATTGTGCATAACAGGCAGCATGGCTGTATGCTCCCCAGTGCTTGAAAAAGTATCGGAAAGTACGATAGTGTCCTATGACTGGGGATAGTCATGTACGTAGCGCCGTGAGCAGGCAATGTGCCTGGATATGAGCGCCATATAAGCGGACTATTTCTATTACTATTCTGCCATTTCTTTACCATGTGGGATGACAAGTAATACAGTACTATCACTTCAACGTACTAATTTGTCCATCATGTACTGTACTATCACTTCAGC